TTGTAACAGTTGCTTGCCATACAGATTGTGCAGCTGTCTGCTTTACATCCCCAGAGGAAGGGACTGGCTTGTGCCTGTCACGTCACCCTCAGCCAGAGACCTGACTCCACGGATGTGTGGTTGTTCTGAGGTCTGTTTTGAACCAGTGAACTCACAAAGTGGATGTCAGATTGTATTCCCGACTGTCCCCAGGCATCAATGATTTCAGGGTGGCCTTAGGTGCTTGTGACGAGTCATTCCCTCTGTTCCTACAGGTTAGGAGGTCTGTAGACACCTTCCCTAGCCCTGCGTGTTGCTGTTCCTGTTGGGGAGAGCATGGAAAAGCGCCCTACAGCCTTCCTTGGGGCGTGGGCTCTGATCATGTCAGGACCAAGACTCACTATGTTCTTGTCCTGGAATTATTCTGACCTTGGGGTCTGGGTAGAAGGTTGTCTGACATTGATGCGCTGTGTCACTTGTCATGTGTGTAAGGGAGAGAGACAGCAATGGAGGGACAGACATACTGCTTTCATCATTTGGCTCATTTCCCAAATGCCCGCAGTGGCTCAGGGGAGCCAAAGCTGGCATCCAGGAAATGACTGTGGATCTCCCCGCTGTGTGCCAGGTACGCTACCACCTGAGTCAGGAGCCGGAGCCAGAACCTGAGCACCTGCACACCAGTGTGAGGCAAAGGCATCCTGGCCAGAGCATAACAGCTAGGTCAAATGCTCGCCCCCATATGCTGCTGTTCAAACAACAAAGACCTGACATCTCTTTCTTTTTTTCTTTTCAAGATTTATTTTATTTTTATTGGAAAGTCAGATATACAGAGAAGAGGAGAGACAGAGAGGAAGATCTTCTGTCTGATGATTCACTCCCCAAATGGCTACAACAGCCGAAGCTGAGCCAGTCTGAAGCCAGGAGCCAGGAGCTTGTTTGGTGTCTCACGCAAGGTCCCAAGGCTTTGGGCTGTCCTTGACTGCCTTCCCAGGCCACAAGCAGAGAGCTAGGACCACTTGGACACGAACTTGTGCCTATATGGGATCCCAGTGCGTGCAAAGTGAGGACTTTAGCCACTAGCCTACCGCACCAGGCCCCTGACATCTCTTTAGAGTTGTGTAAAAGCAGACAACCAGGAGTTTCAACGCCCTTCAAAGCCTCTCAGATGAAGATTTGTAGTGTGTGTTTATTACTAACTGTGTCCTCAGTAGTAAACTTCTCTATATGAGGCCACACCTCATGGTTAGTAGTGCTCGAAAAGATTATTGTTTAAATGGGATCATAGGACAGAGCAGATTTCATGTTAAGTTTATATAGATTGATATAGAAAAGATTGATTATTTGAGTTTGGATATAATAACCCTTTCTTTAGATACCGGTAATGTCGTTTCTAAAATACATTTGTTTTTGTAGAGCACTACTCAGATTTACTAAGAATGTTGAAAAGATTATAGTTCCCCTTACTGTCCACCCCTTACACTTGTATGGTGCGTGAAGTCTGTGCACGGATCACATTTCTGTGGTGTTTACCTGCTGTCCTTTTTCTGTTAGAGGATCCCTGCCATTGGCTCTATCACACATGCATTCATTCTTTCGTTGGTTCATTTCAAAGCTGCTCTTGGCTGTTGGCAGTTTTGATGAATACTTGTCAGGTATGTGATAGGTTGTTCCTCTTGGAATCTGTCTGATGTTCTCCTAATGACCAGATCTGGTCATAGGATTATATGGTAAAATAGATACGGTATATATGGTTAATATGGTAAGAAACTGCCTGACTTAGGTGGCCATACCATTTCTTGCATTCTCACCAGCAGCGAATGGGAGTTCTGCCACCTCACGTCCTTGTCAGCATTTCGTATCATCAGTTTGTCAGACTTGAGCCACTATGATAGGTGTGCAGTGGCTGGGATATAATTTTAGGGGGGCGGAGGGAATAAGTTTAAAAGCCGGTCTTTTGTAGTGTTATCTATTTATTATTATCACACTCTGTTATACCTGACTATGGAGATACTGCTTTCTCTCCAGAGAAATTAGTGTTGAAAGAATATGTGTGCTTTTCCTTGTACAAATAACTTTACAGACGTTTAAGTGACATTTTGTTAAAATTAACTATTCTCTTTACTCTTATTACTAATAGCTAATAAGCTCTATCCCATTGATGTTAAGCTGTAGACTATTGATATTAATGTTTCACATTTAATTGCTTTTGTTTAATCTTTCATTCTCATTTTCCATTCTTTAAAGTCATTTTTGCTTTTTTTGTTTGTTTTGTTTCTTTGTTCATAAAGCTCTTCTTGTTTCTGTTACATTGTGTAGTTTTGTACCAATGGCTAGAAGCAGATCGTCATGGCAGGAGCCAAGATGCTGCAAATGCGACCTCAGGTAAAAGTTAAAAAACAGTGATGGGGTATTAGAAATTTTATCTTAATTCACCCCAATCCCATTGTAATAAATGTGTCTTTATTTGGTTTTGATTGGACACTTTGAATAGGTATTATTTTGTATTTTTGTTCTCTCATCTTCATCTTAATTTTCATAAAGACTTCATTTGCTTCAAACCTTGAAAAAATATCACCAGTTTTAAGCTCTCTTGGCAGATAGAACACTTTCCTTAGGAGAAAAAGCTTAATTGTGGCTTAAATTTAGCAGGTAGTCTTAACTTGAAGTTAAATCTGTATTTAGTCATAAAATGGATTATTAATACTGTGTAAGTTTATACTCCTTGTTTGTTTCAATTTTAACTTAAAAGATATTTAGATTTCTTGGGAATCCAGATTCTCAGATTTGGTCATTTTTCCCTGCAGGAGATTCTCAGTTACAGGTCCATAACCCTGCGTTCCAGTGAGAAGAGTGGGCTGTCTCCCAGAGCCCAGCCCTGAAAGGCATTTGTTTAGCTAGTTCTGTAGAGTCGTATCCACTCGTTTCTGAATGCCTAGTAGTGATGTCAGAAGGTCCCGAGAGTTGATTGCTCCCCTAATTTTCTTCAGCATGCTATTTGCCAAGACAGCTTTGTAGGATTAAGTAGCGGTGACTCTTCCTGTTGTCCCCCTTCTGGCAATCTAATGGAAGGTGGTGGTGGTGGTGGTGGTTCTGGTGACTTTCTTTTGTTAAGTTTTTTGTTTCTGTTTTGTGGGTTTTTTGGTGAATTCATTGTGTCTGGAGGTGATTTCCTTCTCTAGTTGATTCTATCTCAAGAGGGTGTGGTGTTCCCTGTTAACAGAATAATTCTCTTTCAAATAGCACTGTCATGACTTATGATTTGTCCTGTCCCTTTAATAACTTGATATGTAAATGAAAATAATGTTGCTATTTTAACCATACACAATGAGGAACTCATTAAAAGGTAAGTGTTGCCAGAAGTTGTGTCTAGGCCGTATGCTGTGTCCTGGGCTCCCACAGTTAGCAGAGGAACGTGGATGTTGTCATGTGGGGAGGAGGGGTCCTTCCTGGTCTGTGCCTTGCCTGCTGCTGTCCTGTCTCCGTAGCAGTCAGCAGCAGGTGCTTTTAGAAAATCAGGAGACAGTTTGTGTTTTGGTTTTTCTGGTGATGAGAGAAGCAATCTTTATTTTCTTCCTTATGAAGCAATAAATGAACATTGCTGGTGTTCACATGAAGCTCTGGTAGCTGCTTAAAGACACCATTCACCATGACATCATGAATTATGAGCCCTTGCCCTGCCCTTCAGCCACCTTGACTTGTTGGTCTACTGCTGCTGATACACCCTAAGATATAGATGTACTAAAATTATTAGGCTCTCTTTTAGGAAGCCTCTGATCATTTCAGGGGTGAAAATTTCTAGTTCTTAGAAGAGGCAAGTATGGGGTAGAAAGAAACAGAGTTGTAATTGATGCTTGCCAAAAATCCTAAGGAGAAAAATCATTAGCCATAGTCATAACCAAGGCAGTAGTTTACTTGCCTCAGTAATGTATTTAAATTATGTGCCCTTATTCCAAAAAGCTTCTGTGTATTTATATTGCAGTCTCCAGCAAGATTTTAGAGTGTGACTTTTCCCTCCTTCTGTGATCTGTTAAGTTTTGCACGTAGAAGTATTTTAGTATGTATCTTTACATCTCTTTTTTTTTTTTACCCAAAATGGAAACTGAGTCTAACAAGATGTCGAAGTATGACTCATAAGTCAGACTGCTTCACTGTATTATTAATTGTACAAATACAGGTGACATTTTCTTTAGCTGTAACAGTTGATGTTTTGCACTTCATTAAAGCCTTAAAATAGAAAAAAAAAAATAGGAGACAGAGAAATAGACATTCCAAGGTCTTCCTGTTCTAGCCCAAGTTTGTGATTTTGAAAAATTAAGATCTATCACTTAAACATTTTACAAAACCTAAAGTATTTAGTGATAACAGATATTTTTAGGAATTCAGGGGTCAAGGAGATAAAGAACTAATCTGACATCTGTTACTGAGTTTTCTTAAATATAATAGTATAGTTATTTCATGGTTCCAGAATTTTGACGGGTAATTAATTTGGTGTGAGGTGTTTAATAGTCTCATGTGCTTCTTCTGTTTTTCTGACACAGATACTCAGCAATGACATTTCTAATTTTGCTAGTTTTCTTACCTAACAGCCTTTGTGCGCTCACGTGTGTCAGCGGTTTTTGTGAAGGTTCAAGCAAAATTGCCACCTCTTGAGCATCAAGCATTATCTGTGTGTAAAATGAGATAATTACGAGACTGGGATCAACTCAAGTCAAGATGTTTCTTTAGTGAATTAAATATTTCCATATGAAGTTTCTTTGTTTTCTGAATAACTAAATGAGAACTATAAGTTAGTGACAATTAGATTAGTGTGTGTTGATTGTTTTTTTTTAAGTTGTCAGTTATCTATGATTTTAAAATCTGATCCTAAATTTTTAAATGTGGACCTCCTATTTCCAATTTTCATTTGTTCTTTAGGCATCTTACCACTCAGACTTGTTAGAGATTGATTTCAAGTAAGTATAGAACTATAACATGTTTTTCAAGAAGGGTTGTAGGAATTAATGAATCATTTTTTGTCATAGGTGAAAATTTTGACCAGAGTCCTTTGAGAAGAACGTTCAAGTCCAAAGTTCTGGCTCACTATCCTCAGAACATCGAGTGGAACCCTTTTGATCAGGATGCTGTGAACATGGTATGTATTCTCCCTTTGCCCTCTCCATTTTCACTGTAGCCTTTGAAAGTTTGTTGATGAAGATAGTGACTATATGTTGAATGTATCCATTATTTCACTTAATGTAAGCCTTTAAAAATTCTTGAAGAAATATACTCTCCACATTTTATAGATGTGGCAGCAGAAACTCAGAGAAAGTAGTTGCTCAGGGTTCCAGCAGCCATTAGGTCTGTATCACAAGCCACAGACTGTTTTATCTCCTTACTAATATGCTGCATTATGGGCTGGTTCTGAAATAACCAGAGCTGGGCCAGGCCAGGCTAAAGCCACGAGTCAAGAACTGCTGCTGCATCTCCCGTGTCGGTAAGAGGGACTCAGATCCTAAGCTGTCACCTGCTGCTTCACAAGCACATAGCAGGAAGCTGGATTGGAAGTATGGTCAGGACTTGGCCACAGGCATTTCAGTGTGATGTGTGAGTGTTCCAAGCAGCAGTTTAAGGTTGTATCACAACAGTCTCCCTCGAGTTTTCATACTTTAAAGAACATTGTGGGATGAGCTTGTAATTCATTATTTTCATAGATACCATAAAGATGAAGGAAACATAAATACATTTTTAGAATTTAGTAGAAATTTGTGAGGAATGTGAGTCAATGCAGCAAGTACTGGAAGTCTCCTTTAGAGATTCTTGGAAGTAAGGTAGGCATACCAGGGCCCAGCGCAATGGCTCAGTTGGCTAAATCCTCAGCTTGCAAGCGTTGAGGTCTCATATGGGTGCTGGTTCGTGTCCTGTCTGCTCCATTTCCCATCTAACTCCCTGTTTGTAGCCTGGGAAAGCAGTAGAGGATAGTCCAAAGCCTTGGGATTATGCACCCACAAGGGAGACCTGGAAGAAGCTCCTGGCTTTGGATTGGCTTGGCTCTGGCCGTTACGACCATTTGAGGAGTAAACTAGTGGATGGAAAATCTTTCTTCTTCATTTCTCCTTCTTTCTGTAAATCTGATTTCCCTTTCTAATAAAAATAAATAGATCTTTTTATTTTAAAAAAATTGAAAAAAAATATAAAGTAGGCATCCCAAGTGAGTCTCGTTTTAAGTCCTGGTTGCTCCATTTCTGATCCAGCTCCCTGCCAATGCATCTGAAAAGGCAGTGGAATGTGGCTCAAGTATTTGGATTCTTGTCACCCACCCGTGGGACTCACATTGAGTTCCTTGCTCCTGATTTTACCTTGGCCTAGCCCTAGTCATTGTGACCTTTCAAATAACTTAAAATAAATTTCAAATAAATTTTAAAATTCTTTTAAAAAAAACAATAGCTGAACATTTCAAGTTTTGTGTGATATGTATAAATTCGTGATTTGCTGTTTACTGTGAAGACCAGGTAGGGTAAAGTGGAATGATGAACAGAGTGAAGGTAAGAATGGCTACTCAGGAGCCCATCTGACAAAATTCAGAAGAAAAGGGGCCACGTACTTTTCGCAGCTACAGCAAGTGCTTGAACTTGATACGGATATCCCTACATTGCATTCTAAACTTGACATTAAAATGGAAGTAAGCCCTCATTTTAACCCGTGTTGAAGATCACGTTTCAGCAGGATCAGGAATGGAGATGTAATTCAACCATTTCTGGGGGAATCCACTTATTTCCTTAACATGGCAACTGAAGTATTTCACTGGCCTCTCCAGCTGAATGTTGCCTGAAATAGAATTTGTGATCCTTTCCCAAGGGTTGGTCTTTATCCAGTACAGTCCTTGAACATCCTCCCCTTCTCCTATGCAGACACCTTTACTTCTCTGTCCACATGCCCACTTTTGTGCAAAACACCAAGATCTCACACCTGGACTCCTAGGAACTGTCCAGCTCGTCTGTGCTCCTGCCCATTCCACTCACACGGAACTGCTGTTGTTACTCTTTGGGAGATTGTTGTACTTCTTCATGCAGTGAATTCTCGTTTATTTTGTAGATGTCATTTCAAACATAACTTCCTCAAAGAAGTACTCTCCAACTACCACCTTCTACTGTCTTCCCCACGTCACCTGGTCTCTAAGTTTTTGCAGCACCCTGTGCCTTTTGTAGCACTTATTCCAGTTGCAGTTAAATCATTGTGTAGTTAGTGATCGCTTCTGTGTCTCCTGGTATTATGTTAGTACTGTGAGAATAGAACCATTTCTCTTTATTGCTGTATTCCTGCCTTTGCACATAGCAGATGTTCAAATTGTTGAATAGCTGAAGAAATCTTTACCTGTTTGCAGTATACTTCCTTCCCCCAACCGTCTCGTTTCAGGGCCCGCATCCACAGGAAACCCATCTCTTATGTCAGAGTAATTAGCTAGGTACCCTCTCTTTTTTCTTCCTCCAATATCTGGAGTGCACACCACAGCATCCCTGTTCCCATCACTCAGAGCCTGTGTTGGTTTGTATGTTATTCTTTCTCACTAGACTGTGAGCTCTCTCAACGAAAGGGTTATTTTGTCCTTTGAGTTGCCAACATCTCATGTAATACATGAGTAAAGTAATATTCATTGAAGGAAAGAAGAAAAGCAAGCTGAAGAACTCTTGAGTTTTCTGAATAATTTTTCTCTTATTTGTGTAATGAGAGTCTGGCCACTTTCAAATATGAAGCAGGGTGTGGTCACTCAGACTACAGAGACACACTGATGGCTTAAGGAGCCTGCCTGGATCACCAGCAACCACTCTAATTTTTAGTATGGGTTTAGTAGATATTTTAGTTAATACCAATATTGTGGGGTAACAAGAGATTGTTGAAAATTATGGTAAACAAATCTTATTCGGTATCTCAGGCTTTCTGAGAGATAAAGTATGTTTTAGCTTTGCTGATCGTACGAGGTAGTTATTTAGCCTTGAAAAAGAAAAAAAGTTAAGACACTGCTTGGCCTTTCTGTATTGCATATCAGAATAGGTTCATGCCCTAGCTTCACTCCCTCTTCCTGCTTCCTATTAATGGACAGCCTGGGATGTAGTGGATCAGTGATAATAAGTTGGATTCTTGCCACGCACATGGGAGACCTGAATTGAGTTCCCACCTGCTAACCTTCGATTGGCCCAGCCTTAGCTTTGTGGGCATTTTGGGAGTGAACTAGCAGATAAGAAACATTCTTTCTCCAACTAAAGTAAAAACTGTACTACGTATTTTTTTCTAATGCTAGCAATCACATTTTCAACTTTGTGGTTTTTGGATTAGAAATTTAATTCTCACTGTTTTTGCTTTATCAGAAGAGTATTGAAGAAAAATTCTTGCATAGAGACCTATTCACTTTTTGAGCACTGTGTCTGGCAAGCCTTTCCTGTACATGTTTCAGTGTATGCTCAAGAAAACTACAAACCCATAGGGGTACCTGGCAGCTACTCAGAAATGGTTTGAGTTGTGAGTTTTATGGTTTATAAGAGTGTATCCTTTAAATTAAAAGTTTTCCTGTTGACTTTGGAGGTCATTGTGTTTCTGTATCACCTACCTGATGAAAAAGAGAACTTAAAGTTGCCTTAAGAGATGAATTAAATCTAACCCTGCTCCCCAGCTATTGTTTTTGTTTGTTATCTTATTTCACTCATTTATCCAACAAATGCTGCTGTGTTGTGTCCTGTGTTAAACAAGTTTAAGTTTAGCCTGGAGCAGGAGTCATCTGGGTCATCCCTTCTTCAGTCTTAACCAAGATAAATGTGTCAAATGTTAGTTGTGTGATCATCAGAGGAATTCACAGATCTGTTGTTTCAATGAAAACAGCCTTTATTTGGAGACAGAATTATTGAAAGATCTTGCCATGTATGACCTTTTCTTACTCAACTTTTTCTTTTAAGATTTATTTATTTTTATTAGAAAGGCAGATCATATTTACAGAGAGAAGGATCTTTCATCCACTGCTTCAGCCCCGCAAATGGCTGCAATAACAGGAGCTGAACTAATCTGAAGCCAGGAGCCAGGAACGTCCCCCCTGGTCTCCCACGTGAGTGCAAGGTCCCAGGCTTTGGGCCATCCTCAGTTGCTTTTCCAGGCCATAGCAGGGAGCTGGACGGGAAGTGGAGCCGCTGGGATTAGAACCGGTGCCCATATGGGATGCTGGTACCTACAAGAGGAGGATTCAGCCAGTTGAGCTATTGTTCCAGGCCCTATTATTCAATTTTCCTAAGCAGTTGTTTTTTCCTAGCTAATCTCAGTGTGGGTTTTATCTTACAAAAAAAAAAGAAAGAAAGAAAGAAAGAAAGAAAAAGTATTTCATCTGTTGTGTTATTTCCCAAACGTCTGCAACAGCCAGAGTACCCAGCGCTCAAGCCAGGTGCTCTGATACAAGACATGGGTATCTCAAGCAAAATTAATGCTGAGCCAAATGCTCACACCTAATGTGTCAGGATTTTCCCTGTTACACTAATGCTAACCCAAGTTTCATTATATATATAATCTTTATTGCCAGTCATCATTTGTTTTGGCCTTAAATGGTTTATTGTCTCGTTTGTTATACTCTGAAATGTATTACATTATAGATATATAGTCCCAGCCTTGAATTGTTTGCACTGTCAATATATATTATACGTATGTATACAGTAGTACAAGGCTTTAATTGCTTCCTCACACAACAGTGACATTTCAGAGAAGCTACTTTTTAATGGCTTTTTAGGGAGGAAGGACACTTGTGAGGAAAAGTAGGGAAGACCTGGTTAAGGCTGTGTTTAGGTGGAGATGCAGAGGAAATAAGGCGGGGTTCTGGCTGTCTGCTGCTGCTTAACCATTATCCCTGTACTGAGAGTGGTTTGAAGTGGGAGTTAGCATTTTTTCCCAAATCCCCAGATGGGAAATAGTGGAGGTGTCAGAACTGTCACAGCTACTCTGCTGCTGTGCAGAAGCATCCACAGATGGTACCCAAGTCGTGGTGTCGCATTGAGATTTCATTTGTAAAAGGTGGTAGCAGATTCAACTTAAGCAAAGGCCATAGTTTGCTGACCATTAACATAAAACAATAAAATCATTACTTAACTTATAAATTAAGGGTTTGGGTGGGTTATGTCAGGG